TATAGCTTTATTTATCAAGTGTATGACAGTAATATGTCATGTAAAATAGTGGTGTATTGTTAGTGTAGGAAACGCCGTTACATGGTGACCTCTCACAAGAGGGCGTCCATAATTATCGTTATTTTACATGTCGTGACGTAACTCTGATTAAATATCGAAAGCTTTACTTTTCATTCGTATGTCAGCTGTGTGCATGATCCTTGCTTCTTTGTTGTTTAGATGATGGTACAAGATGGCAACAGCTGTGGCTGACTTTTGCATATTTAGACAATTACAAATTCATCCGAAGTTAGGGGTCGTCCGAAGTTACAGCACCCCGCGTTAGAGGACCTATGTAACAGAAATACATTACTGGTACTAAATACTAGTAACATAACATGTATCTTGACTCAAGAAACAAGTTCTAATTCAAGATATAAGAAGTGTTCAAAACATAGAATTGATGAGCTTTAGTCATCCCAAGGGCCCCCTTGGGATGAAATAAATATTTACATAAACAACATTTGACTTGCAAGCAAATAATTACATTAAAGACTTACCCAAGTTTGACTATGAAGAGGAACTGCACAAGATGTACCAGCTTCAGCAGGTCGTAGGACTCAAAGATGCCAAACACTCTCAACGTCTTGGACACAATCAGTAGAAGTATGTAAGGGAAGAGCCTGTAGAGAAATAGGAGGTAATACAAAATGTTAAAAGTGAGTAACACCGAATCCTCTCCAAGTACATACCTATGGTTCCTCTGCAAAATTTTATAAAATTTGAAATGTGTAGTACCTACCCTGTTCCCTTCTCTACGCGGCCAAGCTTTCCCCCTGATAACATTTTTAAAACAAATTTGGACTTTTAAAACAAATATGGAATGGCGCCAACGTTTGCTCCAAAAGTAAGAAAGAGCAAAAGCAACAGCCACGTCACGCGTCTGTAGAGACGACTTCACCAGAAGTCAGCTGGATATTCGCAAGAGATCTTCACTAAATGACGTTAAACCCATCCTCCGCTCAAAGTGCATTGTTCTTAGGGCACATAGGAACTCTTCAACTTCCTAATAAGTGGCAAATAAATTTGAAATGGGGTGTAAAAGAAGACGATAGAAAGATAGTGGGTTTGTTTTCACACGGGCGCCGCCATGTTTTCGCGCTGCCCGATGGGAAATCTCTTGCATTGTGGGTAGAAATTGTGATGGCGGCGATGGAGAGGAAGGGGAGGGCCATGTGAGTCAGGGCTGGTGAGGAGAGGGTTGGAATCGTGTGTGTGAGGGGGGGAGTGTGTGAGGAGTGGGCCGTATTAGTGAGGATTGTCGGGAGGTGCATGTGAATGAGTGGTTGTGAGGGGAGGGCCACGTGAGTGAGGGACAGAGGGGATGTGATGAGGGGCCATGACTCATATGACTGAGTGAGGGGTGTGAGGAAAGGACCGTGTGAGTGAGGGTTGTGAGAAGAGGGTCATATGAGTGAGGGGTGTGTGAGGACAGGGTCATATGAGGGACGGTATTGAGGAGAGGGTTGTGAGGAGAGAGTCATATGAGTGAGGGTTGTGAGGAGATGGCAGGCACTGTCTGGGTTTTAGACATTGCATCCATTAACGTTACATGTTTTTACCAATTGTGCGATATTAAGTTTGTGTTGTGTTGTCCTCACTCTAGCTGACACAGTGGACTGGACAAGTAGAAGCAGATGCCAGTCACCTTGCACCAAGACGAACTCGAACTTGAAGATCACCCTTTTAAGTATGTATGCAGCATCACCACTGGACTGGTACTGCATACTGACAGCCGAGAGTGACATAGTTCTGTTGACCTGATTTGTGCAGTCATTATTTGTGAAACTATTGAAAGTTTAGATGTTGATACAGAATCAACACAGTCAAAACTTAAAGAGAAAGACTAAACAACTCCCAACCTTGGAAAACTGGACATGACTGAAGAGACAGTGGCAGCCTTAGGTAGACAACAGCTGTAATAAAAGTGAAGTATTTCTATTGTGAAGTGGAACGATGGATTTTGCCACAGCCAGTAGTGTGGTGCTGGAAACCCTGACCAAGGCCACCAGCCAAGACCAGACCATCCTGAAGCCTGCAGAACAACAACTCAAGCAGTGGGAGACTCAGCCTGGTTTCTACTCCATTCTTGTGGTGAGCCAAGAAAAAAGAAGCAAAACATATGATGATTAAGCATTATGCTATACATTCCTTACTGCCATGATCCTTTATCCTTCATATTTTTTGTAGACGACAGTCAATTGTTATAAGTTTAGCAAAAAGAACAAGCCATTAATTCTTTCTGTTTCTCTTTAATTTGAATGTTTTATTGTCTCACTGATCCTTTGTAAAATACACAATCATTGACCTCAAAACCAAGCATTATATGCTATCAAATATCAATAACAATCCATTCAAATAGCTTTTTTCACTTGTATATTGTTCAACCACAAACAAATCCAAAAACACACTACAGAAAGCATCACCTCTTTGTTGAAGCCCATGATGTATGGTGCATGTTTTCTACGGTTTCAGACGATATTCTCCAACCATGCCATCTCCCTGAATGTTCGCTGGCTGGCTGTGCTGTACTTCAAGAATGGAGTGGATCGTTACTGGAGAAGAACTGCTCCTAAGTAAGCAGTGATCCACATTGTATATTTATTTTATTTATAAGCATTTTTATCAATGACTTTGAGGTATCCTGTGCGGTTGGCCTCCTAAAAATCCTTGAAATACCTTTTTCTGCAAACAGGACCAGACATGAATTGGAACACCCACATGTACATTGAAGGAGCTTTTTCTTGCTTTGTTGACAAAAGCCTTCAGTGCATGTATGAATGTTTGTAGATTGGTTTATAACAAGCACGTTTTGCTGAAATCACTTTCGTAATGATACATTTCTAAAGTTTCTCTATTTTACAGCTGTAGATAAAATTTTCAAATAATTTTTTCCGTTAAAACAATGCACATTAATCTTGTCAACATACATGTGTCATATATCTTCTCACTATAGTCTCCCTATTCCCTCTCTTGTGTCCTGTTTGCTGGTTGGTTAGCATGATGATTAAGGAGAGTCCAGGGCTGATTAGAAGGAGGGCTGTCACCATTAGTGAGATATAGTAAGTTCACATTCCTTGATCAGCACAAACGAGTGCTTTTGAAAAAAAAGTTTTGCCGTGGATTGTGACAAAATTTACCAGGCTAAATTTAGCTTTGAGTGCTGTTGAGTTTAAATCTACTTGATTTGAATGTGAGGCTGGGCTAAGGTAGGTTAGAAATGGTACATATGGTACATGAGACAAGTTCGAGGGAAATTGGTCGAGTTGCTAGTACTGTATGTTGTTTGCCCCACTACCCAACTGCTGGCAGAGGAATACCTTATGCAACAGTCATTTGATGATTTGAGAATTTTGTTCCTGTAATTGAATA